AAAGGATTCTTCGAGAAAGCCTGTTGGCAGATGGTAAAGTACTGAAGACACCCGCAGCTGCAGAACCGGAACTAAACAACTGTTAAAGATTCAGGCTTGACCAGGGGCGAACAACGAGCACTTTGGCCAGTGCAAACAACTGAAGCAGATGATCCATTAGCCAACGGCCCATTTCTGTGTATGTATGCCACGCACAAGAGACGATTCCTTAGCAGCAATGGTTGCCATGTTCTAACAAGTTTGTATAGGAACGCATCTTGATTATCTTGCGGAGGCCCTTGAACCCATACACAAACAGATGCCACACACACCGCCGGGAACAACGACATTTTCAGAGAAGTAGTTAGGCTTCGGTTTGAAGCTGCTTTTTCCATGTACGCCATTAGTCGTCCAGCTTTACGATGTAATGGCATTGAAAAATCTGGATCCCACCAATGCAGCCCTGAGTGAGGCCAAGCTGCTCCACACGCGCGGGGCCTCAGAAGGGATGGTCAGGGCAACTTGGGGTAATCAGCAAGACCCAGGGCCCCAGCGAAAAGAAGGACAACAACTTCAGAAGTGTTCTTCTCATGAGTATTGACTGACGGAATAAGCACAGGATAGGGCAGCCTAATCTTGTCGTTGCTTGTTGAGGCCGCCAAGTACGTGATGCAGAGCGCACGCTCGAGCACTTTGCCATCTGGCGAGCAGCGCCGGGAGCGCACAGAAACGGCTGTCACCAGCTAGAAATATCTGCAGCGTGTTGAGCACACCTTTTGGGGTCTTAGACTTGCAGCAGTTTGGAGTCAACAGCCAAGCACTGGCAACAATGGTCTGGTGCAATTTACGAACTTTGTGAGCATCTCTTCACACCTTCAACGTGTCTTGAGGAATTTGGATCTGAATAACCACCGATCCCATCACAACGATCCACACACGCACACACACACAGTATGTGTGTGTATGTGAATTTTTGCTCAGAAAAGCACAGCCCGCGCCCTCATTCTTTGTGCGTTGAGGCCCGAGATCAATGCCAACCTTGCGGCTCTCTCCAATCCAAAGGCTCTGTTGACTGATCTTCAACCACTATGCAAAGCGGTTTCGTCCAATGCTTTGGCATCACAATGTGAAGAAGCTGAATGATAGCTTATCCTGGATGAGCTTCGTACAGGGGTGAGGCTGCCTACACCTAAGACCTCCTGAGCGCACAAATCACTTCGGATGGCTTCCATCCTGACCGGTGCTGATTAAAAAATCGTGCACCACCCTTTGGGTAGGGCTTTCTAAGCCACCGCAGGTCGCCGATTGGCTGTCGGAGCAGCAGCGTGAGGAGCCTGCATTTGCATGAACCTGCTGCAAGGTTCTTTTCAGCACTGGCCCAGACTAAGTGTACCGTGCTGGCCCAGGACCTGGAGAAGGCATATCAATCCTTCCTGACCAGGCCACAGCACAATGTCCAAGAAGCACACCATCTTATCATGGCCCATGGCTAGGTCGCAGTCCTTAAACCCCCGCAGATGTTGCATAAGCTACCGTACCTACTCATACCAAGTTGCGGTTGCGAGAAGTAGGCAGCCTGCGGTCTGAGGAGACTTGCTGTGGATGTTCAGGAAACCATTTCACACTAGTAGTTCTAGCATTAGGTTGGCGCCGTTGAAGCCCGAGTCACGAACATGTGACAATGCAGTGCACATGCACGTGTGCCTGACAAGTCGATCCATGGAATTCCTTTGATCGGATCTTTACAGAGTTCATCCCAGGTGTGCAGAGCTGGATCTTGGCATTTCGTCAAAGCCTTCTGGAAGGCCCTGTATCCGGCGTCATGTCGCAGAGGGTGCTGCGATGTGCTGCGTATCTGGCCAGTTCCAGGCAGCTCACGGATGCTGGGCAGCCGGAGGCAGATGGAACAGGGGAGTTGGGCCCTCTGCTTGAATCCTGCTGGCATCCGCTGGCCTTTCAGCTTGCGATTGCCTCCAAATCGAAGTTGGAACGGCTTTTGTCTTGCTGGGGCCATGAGCTTCGAAGAAGCTTGTGAAGCAAATGTGAATTTTTGCAATCCTACCTTGCCGGTATCATCACTCATGCCTGCCGAGCAGCCAAGGCAGCAGCCGCTGACTGCACTGGAGGCCTGGTGCAGGCAAACAATTTGGTGGGGAGTTCTGCACAACCAAAGGGCCGGCCGAGTTGTTATGATGGAATCTAGTAGTGCGTTTCACCATTGCTTTTTGTTACGGGCCGAAGGCGATAGGCTACCGCTTGGGAATCTGAGGTGGCTTCTGGCGAGCAGCGCCGGGTTCGCATGATGGCCTCGTTTATTCCTTGGAGCTGAGTCCGTGTCTTCACACGCGCAACAGGGGTGCAGTGTCAGTCAATCATCATCCGCTAGCTGGTCGGCAACAGCTGGGATAAAGGTTGAGCAAAAGAAGCCCAAACACTTTGCCAGGTGTTGAGGCCCCTGTGGAGCTGATGGGGGCGATGGGCGGTTACCAGCCTCAGTCCGCCGCATGCTCAGAATTTGCTTTCGTAGAACGCGAAGGCAGCTTGTAGTGGTGATTCTAATTCTCTGTAATTCAGCGTAATTGAATTCATACAAGGTCAGCCATTGATATCATTGGGAATGAAACCAAACCAAAACACCGGGACGTGGCTCTCCAGGTGTATATTGACTCGGATGGCGGGATCAACCACGAGGCCCAAAGCACATGCCTGGAACATCCCGCACTAGAGAACGTGGACGTCTGTGGCTATATGCTGCAATATACACAGAGTAAAGTTGAGGAGGGTGGTCTGAAGCTGCAGGACGCTAGAAGGATCTTAAACACGAGTCGACTCATGCGCTCCGATGATTGAGCAGGCTTCAATGTCAGTTCGGACCACCAGCTTCAATGGCACCGTCTCAACAGCAGCTGGCCTAAAAGTGACCCCGCAGTATCGGAGAATCAGCACGTTTGCGGAGTCCGAAAATAATTTGGTGGTGCCCTTCTGCTCCATCTAGCTCGCAGCATTCAAGATGAAAGAAGTGACAACACCGTGGTGTGCAGCCTGTGGAAAAGTGGAACGTTAAGAAGGTTCATTCAATGACTAGCAATATGCTTGCGTCAAGACAAACTCTAGGCCGGCACGCCTACGCCTACTAGACCTTTGACAAATTTCTAGCATTGCTTCTGCGTTGAGGGCAGCATCCGCTACAGCACCGGCTAGATGCACTCCCACGTAGTACGTAGTGTGATCAACGCGTGTATCGCTCTGTCAGGAGCCAGTGTTCTAGTTGTTTTGGAGGAGCGCCGAAAGGAAGTCCAGTTACTAACAAGTTAAGCGCGATAGCATACTACACCATTACCTCTTGCTTTTGGTGGCCGTTACACATTGCAAGCGCAAACTCCTATAGTTGCCAGGGGGGAATTCGTTCTCGGATACCAAAGACAGGCGATGATGCCAATGCCAGTAATAGCTAAAAGGACACCTGTTGATTTCGTTAGTTGTTTAGATCACAACAATAAGTAATAAGTCCAAACAAACATTCCTGCTATATTGAGCACTCACAGCTCTCGATGACCTAAGCCCATGATAATTATGCATCCATGGAGTTTGAGAAGCTGCCGTGTAGCAGCATGGCATAATTACTAAGGTTCTCTGCAAGCGGCACTTTTGCGAGAGCAAGCCAGTGAGCTCTCCCGAACTCCCGAACTAAGATCCAAGGACCTGCCACAGTGGAATCAGTCCGTTCAGACCTGAGAAGAGCGGTGGCGTGGGTAAAGAGTTGTGCGTAAAGATCATTTTGCCCATTACGCGACCCCGGGTCTAGGTTTTTGCAGCAGCTACGCCAGCTGTGCGACTGCTATCGCAGCTGTGTACCTCTGAGTTGTCTCATATTCAAGGCGCTTCGACTGATGCGGCAGGATGGTGCTTGTGCAAGCAAGGGTCGCGGGGACACACAGTTTCCTGAAAAGTGTTTGTGCTGAATTGCGGAACCCTATTCTTGAAGCCTCCTTGACTCTTTGGCCACAACTAACTACAGTAACTACAGCTTCGTGCAGATGGTCAACATTAACGTGCCACTTTGGCCATATCAGCCACAAGCGTTTAAGTCAGGGACAGTCGATATTTTTTTGCATCCAGGACCAGGGACCACAGTGATCAGCATGGTTCCGGGAACGAGATAGGGGCCGTGGATTGAGCCAGATAGGTCATGCATGCTCCAGCATTATAGCGATATCATGTGGCTTTGTCAACATCCCCCCCGAGATCCAAGATCAGGCGAACAAGACGAGGGACGGTGCATTCGAAATACCGACTAACAAGTAGGCCACAAAAAGTCGTTGCTCATGTCTTAACCCTGTGCCAATACAATGTGTCTACTACCAGTTGCAGGAGACGGAGCAGGACAGTGCACATGCTGCATCCCGGCTGAAATAGAAATGAGACTAGGCTCCTTGGCCCTACCACGAGAGTCATGAAAGAACTACCGAAGAGTTCAAATGCTATGTGTGACTGGACAAGACTTTCGCGCTATGCTGTGGAAGCGGTTGCTCGTGAAACCTTGGTCAAGGAGTGTCAGTTTGCCGAGAGGGATACGCGTGCGACCAGACGGCTTCAGCCTCAAAATTCCGAGCGGTAGTGAGTTGCGCTTGATTGATAGGCAGCCTTCGTCATGAGTTAGTCAAACCATTCTCATTCTGCCCGGACTTCGGAGCAGCAAAGGGCATTTGTGTTTTTGCAGCTTCGTCTTTCCAGTCAGGTCTGCACCCGTGGCATAGTCTGGGTGGTTACCATTCTCCTGCACGTGTTTGGAAGGCGACCGCGACTGCAACGAGCCCAGACTCGAAGGCAGAGGCAGGACGCATCCTCCTTCTCTCCAAGCCCTCAATGGTCAATTGCGAGCTACAACCCCGCTGCGCATGGGACACTGCCCCTACTCTGCAACTGCCCTTCTGACCTGTCTGGAGTCTAGATACAGGCTCATGACGACAAGCCTCGAAAGAACCAACAGCGGGCAGCCTTACGTTGCAGCAGATGCAGCAATGGAAACGGCGCGAGGCTCAGTGAGCGCAGACTAGGTCCAACTGTAGGGTTACATTGTGTGCTGCCCTTTCTCAGGCCCATCGCATCGTCGAGGTTGATGCCTTGGCAGAGGGACTTCTGCATAAGGTGAGCGGGGAGCGCAGCTATAGGAAACCTTTTCCATCAAGGCCGGCAAAAGACAAAAGTAACATGGTTTTGATACTCAACAGGCGTACGCCTTCTGGACTGTCGCACTTTCACCCTGTACACTTCAAGCTACGTGGAGAGTTGATTTGCAAATTGCAACACCTCCTTGATTTCTGCTGTGTCATCCTAGCGCTTGAACATTAAGCCAAACATGCACAGAGTTCATGCTGCATTGGAGAATGCATGGGGATTCCGAACTCCCCCTCGTGCTGCTGGCACGACCCTGACTCGGAATCGCCTCAATCCACGTCAGGTGCCTCGTTTGTAGTAATTTCCAGCTCTGTCCGGCATTGTCCGGCCATACACAAGCAACCGAAGTTCTCCCAGATGTCAACAAGAAAGAAATCGCATGAGTCGACTTTTGCCTTCTCCAGTGGCCACCTCATTGGATGGCTCACTTGCCGTCAACCATTTATGACTGCGTCCGTCCACCGCAGGAACGGAGCTCCTGTGGGTCATGACCGTTTTTTTTTTTTTTCTGGCCGGGTGTTGAGCTACTTGGTTGCGCCCGAATTGCTTGCTCAGAATCACAACGCTGCAGCGATCAGTATA